AGAAAAACGGTGGAAAAACACGGCGTGTTAACAGCAGTTAAATAAAAAATAAAAATAAGTATGCTAAAAAGTAAGAAAAGTGGGAAGAAAAAGGCACTCCCACACGCTCCGAGCCACCCCCCCCCCTAACCCTAACCCTAACCCTCTGTTTGGGGGGGGGGGGGGACCCCAAGAAGTTCCCAGGCCAGCTGAGAGACGTCCGTCCAACATGGGTCTTCCCCGGGGCCTCCTCCCGGTGGGACCTCCCCAGGGAGGCGTCCAGGAGGCATCCGGAACAGATGCCCGAGCCACCTCAACTGGTTCCTCTTGACGTGGAGTAGCAGCGGCTCTACTCCGAGCTCCTCCCGTGTGACTGAGCTCCTCACCCTATCTCTAAGGGAGCACTCAGCCACTCTGCGGAGGAAGCTCATTTCGACCGCTTGTATTCGCGATCTCGTTCTTTCGGTCATTACCAAAAGCTCATGACCATAGGTGAGGGAGGGAACGAAGATTGACCGGTAAATCGAGAGCTTTGACTTTCGCCTCAGCTCCCTCTTCACCACAACGGTCCGATACAGCGACCGCATCACTGCCCACGCTGCACCACTCCGCCTGTCAATCTCACGCTCCATTCTTCCCTCACTCGTGAACAAGACCCCGAGATACTTGAACTCCTCCACTTGAGGAAGGACCTCTCCACCCACCTGTAGAGGGCAAGGCACCTTTTTCCGGTTGAGCACAATGGCCTTGAATTTGGAGGTGCTGATTCTCATCCCAGCCGCTTCACACTCGGCTGCAAACCGTCCCAGTGCATGTTGCAGGTCCTGGTTTGTTGGAGCTAACAGGACAACATAATCCGCAAAAAGCAAGGAGGAAATCCTGTGGTCCCCGAACCGGACCCCCTCTGGCCCCTGGCTGCGCCTAGAAATTCTGTCCATAAACACAGTGAACAGAACCGGTGACAAAGGGCAGCCTTGGTGGAGGCCAACATGCACTGGGAACAGGTCTGACTTACTCCCGGCAATGCGAACACAGCTCTGGCTCCGGTCATACAGGGACCGGACGGCCCTCAGCAGAGGACCCCGGACCCCCTACTCCGGAAAAAGCCCCCAAAGGACACCCCGGGAAACACAGGCGAACGCCTTCTCCAAATCCACAAAGCACATGTGGACAGGTTGGGCGAACTCCCATGAACCCTCGAGTATCTGATGGAGAGTATAGAGCTGGTCCAGTGTTCCGCGGCCGGGACGAAAGCCACACTGCTCCTCCTGGATCCGAGATTCGACCATCGGTCGTAGTCTCCTCTCCAGTACCTTGGAATAGACCTTACCAGGGAGGCTGAGGAGTGTGATCCCACAATAATTGGAACACACCTTCCGGTCCCCCTTCTTGTAGAGAGGGACCACCACTCCGGTTCGCCACTCCATTGGCACCGCCCCCGATCGCCACGCGATGTTGCAGAGACGTGTCAGCCAAGACAGTCCTACAACATCCAGAGACTTTAGATAGTCAGGACGGATCTCATCCACTCCCGGCGCCTTGCCACCATGGAGGCTGCCAACCACCTTGGTGACCTCAGCCAGGAAGATAGAAGTATCCGCCCCAACATCCTCAGTCTCTGCCTCCGGGATGGAGGACGTGACGGGAGGATTGAGGAGAACCTCGAAGTATTCCTTCCACCGCCCAACAATATCCGTAGTCGAGGTCAGCAGCTCTCCACCCGCACCGTACACGGTGTTGGCAAAGAACTGCTTCCCCCTCCTGAGGCGCCGGACGGTTTGCCAGAATCTCATTGAGGCCGACCGATAGTCATGCTCCATGGACTCTCCGAACTCCTCCCAGTCCCGGGTTTTTGCCTCTGCAACAGCCCGGGCCGCGGCGCGCTTGGCCTGCCGATACTGCCTTTTGGTTTCACACAAAGCCGCTTCGAGAGCTGTTTTCTCCTGGACAGTACTCTCCAGTTTGCATTGGGTAGAAGTGGAGCTGTCTGTGAGGCAGACCTCTCTTTCTGGAGCCGTCTCACTTGCTGCTGCTGTTGTCGACTCTCACCAGCTCGCTCCTCTGTTACTTCTCCCTCTTCAGGTCCTCTACCAGACTGGTGTTTTTCCTCCAACACCAACAAGTGGCATTTAAGCATTTCTATTAGCTTGTCCTTCTTCGATCTTCTTCTAAAGCACAACATTTTGTTCAGTTGTGCTTCTTGCGATTAAATCCTCGGTCCGGCCTCTCCTCTTGTCAGATATATCATGCTGTCTGGGACTCCACACACGGACACACTGTAGACTCTGGCTCTTTGTGACATCATAAAGACCACAATGTCATGTTGCCGTGACGATAGCTCACATTCCTTCAGTTCTGTTACCATGGCGTTTTTAGCAGCCATCTTGTGGGCTCTGTTGCCATGGCGATTTTGGCAGCTATCCTGCAGTTTCTGTTACCATGAAAATGTTGGCAGCCATCTTGCAAAGGGTGGCAAAGCAGAATTCCTCATTGAGAATAATGGAAATTACTTCTATTTGCCCTGGGTCCCGTTTCTGCAAGGTTTGAATGTTTAGTACCGCCCCTCAACTCGCTCACAGGTTTCTCATTTCCCCTACGCTGTCATACTTCGAAGCCATCTAGTTTTATTTGCGATCTGATATATATGCAAACATTAGCATGAGCGTAACTACTTAAGCTGTACAATAATCATTGATGAAATGGTACAAAAGCGACGCACTGCTAACAAAATAAATATATAACTGAAAGATTACCGCTAGATTCACGTCTGAATGTAGTCCGAGCATGGATCTATTATATTAACTGGATAGGGTATTACTAGCTTGGAGCTGAAGAACTCATGGGCTCGGGGGATTCCTGCGGTACTGCAGACTAAACCAGACTAAATTCATGTGGGCTACCCAGAAATTTTCCCCATTTACTCAATGTAAATTAAAACAGTGCGACCTTAGCTGACAGAGAACCTACAGCTTTCATAAAGATCGGATTTTGTGGGGATTTTAATGTCCCTTGTCATCCTGAACTTTTTTTCTTAAATCCTTCAGTTTTCTTTAAATCCATACTTTAGTGCCACAATCTCTGCCCGTCTGGCTCCCGCTCTGATTGGTCAGAGCGCAGCCGAGCCCCTCTGTGCACGTGCGTGAGACCCCATGTGAGATCCACACACACGTATTTGGTGTGCGCAGTGGGAGTTTATCCACTGCGCAGAACCGGGAGGAGCAGACGATGCCCAAATACAGGCAAGTTTTCCATGGATCTCTACGAGATCATAGCGCCACTGAGCACAACAATTAATTTGAATACGGCGCCATCTTGGATCGCCAGGGCTTGAGTCCGAGGCGGTACGCTCCCGCAGGTCTCTCCCATAGACAAGTCTCTCCAGAGGATACGATGTAAGCTAGCTATTTTCACCCGGGCTTGATTTCTTTGATAATTTTTTCACATTAGTTCCCTCTTCTCTTCCTCACTGTTGTGTCGTTTGGGCTGTTTTGCTGTGTCTGCAGTTACAGCAAGAGCAGGTGTTCTTGGGTTTCATTAAACTGGCCAGTAGGGGGCGAATGAGCAGAGGTGGGACAACTCAGTTTTGCTCCCATTGAAAACCATGTAAAGTCTGTTTTGGAGTCAAAAGGCTCTCATCCTGTGCGGTGTACGGTTGTTGTAAAAAAAAAAAAAAAATAAATTGGGAGGGGGACACTAAATTCTAAGGGAGTACTATAAAATATTTCTCAAAAAAGTCTCGATTTCGGGAATTTTTTAAAATAAAAAACAGAAGATATTGCTGCGTTTCATTCGGGTGGTCTGCAGGGGGGCGCTTATCTGGGAAACCATTGATCCACCTCACCTCATTCGAGTGATTTTTTTGTGTACTCCTTTATATGAGACCACAGTTGGAACACGGAAGAAACTCTCGTCTTTGTCTCTATTTGTGCGGTTGCTACAAGGGTACACCGCACAAAAAGATGGCATTTTGACAGCGCTTCTTCTACTATATCTCCGTGTATAAACCCGGCAGACTGTCCTACGTTTGTTATTCGCGCCACTGCCCTGATGTCATTTGAAATCCAAGAATAGCCACTTTCTGCTTACATGCTACTGTGTTTACCAGCCCTGTAGAAGCTAGAGGAAGCCGCCTGTTCACTCCTTGTTCTGTGAGTGGAGGAGAGCGGGCCAAGTTTCTACTCAGCACTTTTTACGGCCTGAATTCATACACAAGCTGAATCAATGAGCTCAAGTTTTCAATTAAATTATGGATTATAATACAATTTGTAAATAGTAATAGGCATTTTTATAAACTCAAAAAATTTAAAAAAAAATGGTGTATAGCTTCACACAGACACAATGTCCAAAACATATGAATCCCACTGTACAGTACTCACAGTAAGAATCGATTCCCAAAATAGTTTACAATTATAGAAAAGGTTTAATTAATGGTTACAGCCCTAAACATTCATGTCTCCTGTCTTGAGTGAACAGACATGTGAGTTGTTAAATGTGTTTTTGTTTTAAAGCGCTTTTCACAGTCTGTGCAGCTGTAAGGTCTGTGGTCTGAGTGTGCAGCCATATGCGCCTGTAATTCATGTCTTCTCTTAAACGTCTTTTTACAAACTGAACATTTATGAGGCCTCGCATCTGAGTGAACCAACATGTGCTTTGTTAAGTGGGAATTTTTTACAAAACGCTTCCCACAATCTGAGCATCTGAATGGCCTTTCATCCGAGTGCCTCAACATGTGGATCTCTAATTGGATATTGGTCTTGAACTCTTCATGACAAATTGAACATCGATGAGGCCTCGCGTCTGCGTGAACCAACATGTGCTTTTTAAAATATAATTTGTTTGAATAGGTCTTTCCACACTCTGCACAGCTTTGAGGTGTCTTATTAGAGTGCACCAACATGTGTGTGTTTAGATTCGACTTTGTCCCAAAAGTTTTCCCACAGTCTGAGCAGCTGAAAGGCTTCTTCCCAGAGTGAAGCACCATAATGTGTCTTTCTAAATGAGCTTTTGTTTTAAATCTCTTCTCACAAACTGAGCAGTCGAACATCCTCTGCCCTGAATGAACAATCATGTGCGTAATTAAATGTGCCTTTGTTTTGAACCCTTTTTCACAGTCTGAGCAGCTGTAAGGTCTGTGGTCCGAGTGCACCTTCATATGGACCTCTAAATCTCCACTTATCTTAAATTTCTTTTCACAAACTGAACATGTGTGAGGCCGCTCATCTGAGTGAACAGACAAGTGTCTTTTCAGATCTTGTTTCCTCTTAAAACCCTTCCCACAGTCTGAGCAGCTGAAGGGTCTGTGGTCTGTGATGCATGGGTCAGCAGAAATCATGGCATAGCTTCTTTTTGCTGGAGCCTGTTCTGGATTATAGTCTTGTGAGTGGTCTGTGTCTTCAGAGCTGTCAGAGTGCTTCTCACTATCTTCAGTTGGTCTTTGTTGAAGCACAGAGGACTCATCTTCAGAATCTTCAGTTTTCACAGTGATTATGTGAAAAGGAAACTCCTCTGGCTCTTCTTTGACACACAGCTCTGGCTCATTTTTCAGGTGTGTTGACTCCACACTGGACACACACAAAAATCAATGACAAAATGAATAACAATAACTCCAAGCTGACATTCACAAAATAAAGCTTCTTTACAGCCACAAAATACTCATTATTTTCACTATTTTTTGTTCACAATGCGAAATAAATAATGAATAGTAATATGTGCACCCCTGGTTATACTATCGGCCACTAGTTATTTTGGTTTAATTATAAATAATTGTTTACTCCATAAAAGGTATTTTGATAAATATCTTGTTTCACATAAGTTTGATTGGGTATTCTTTCTCTAAGTAAAATTATTTCAGTTACTGTGAATTGAACCAAAATTGGACCAAACATTAAGAATGGCCAACTTTTAAAATAATTTATGTTGACTTAACATGACTGAATAAATTAAAGTACAACGTGCCATTGTAGCCGAATACCATCAATACGGCAACGTAATATAATCATTAAAAATCATTTCAGTAGCGCATGGGACAGTAGAACTCGCCCATATCAGGGCTCAACTCCGCTGGTAGAGCATTTACCTTTGAGCCTGAAGGTCGTGGGTTCGAGCCCACCACAAGACTTTCTCCACCGACTCCCACTGATGGCGGTTGTCGTTGTGTCCATCTTTCTGGGCAGTCCGCATGAATTTAGTCTGCAGTACCGCAGGCGCCCCCTGTGCTCATGGTGTGACAGCTATAAGCTAGTATTACAGTTTGTCTGCAGTTATTGAATAATATTTTTTTTAGGGATGCACGATATATTGGTATAGGGCCAACGCACTCCCTTTGTTTACACTCGGGACCATGGGTGAGCAGCTTCAGTGAGAGACTTATTCACCCTCGCTGTGTGAAGGAGAAGTTCCGCAGGTCTTTCCTTCCTGCTGCTGTCTGACTGTACAAGAAACAATGAGGACTAATGCACACTGCCAACCTGATCTCTCATGCGTCGGTATAATATTCTTATATCACATCAGAATGTGCAATAACCACACGTCTCTGTCACTTTACTGAGTTTTCTGACAAACTCCAGACAATCACTTTAAATGTTATGTTCAACTGGAGGTGGTAATACAGGTGACAAAAGTTTTGTAAGGTCTAACTGAAGTAGACATTTTGACCACAGCTCTGACTTTCGAAAAATTAGACCTACAGACTACCGAATTAGTAGTCATTGATGAAGTCTTCGTTATAAGAATCAAAACTCCCATCTCAACATCTGATAAGATGTTGATTATGGGGGATTTTTACAGAGCCCATGCTTTAGTGCCAAAAATACAAATACATGGGTGAACAATGGCGACCACATGGCAAATACTAGCATGACGCTGCAACAACCTCTGATCACTGAAAAAGCTATTTCTTACTGCCTTATAAACTGTTTGCTGCTGCGAACCACTCGCAGCGGTTCAATAAAAGATAAGATATGCTTTATTTATCTCACAAAGGGGAAATTTACATAAAAATAAAAAATGAAGAAAAGAAATACATGCAGAAAGAAAAAAAATGAGATTCTATTATTTCTTTGTGCACAAAACTGCAATTAAATAATAAACATATATTTATTTGAATCTTAACCTTTGAATGAACAGGAAAATTAACCAAAAATGATGTTGTATAATAATAATATATATTGATGAAATCTCATGATTTGTTGTGTTATCTTAATAATTGTTGGCATTTATTTATAATTTTGGTCTTCTATACAGACCCTTGTGTGAAGCACAGCAAACCACAAGGGTCTTCCTTGTCTTTTTAATGTTTCCATTCACAAAGCCTCCAACATGACATGTTCAAAATGTAACAATTATGTCCCCAAAGTTCAATACATTTTTTTTGAAAGATATCCATTTTTATCAAAATGGGTTTGAGCTGCCATCTGAGATTATACTATGTAAATCTATAAGCTACATATAATAATAATTTTGTGTAAGCCCTCAGTCGTACAGGGATTAGTCAAAGCAAAGGAAGGTTTCTCACCCATCATCTGTACTTCTTAGCAAGTTTTCCCGACGTTTCGTCCTCAAACTAGCGGACTTCTTCAGGGAATGAATTCTCGGACCGCGCGTTGGAGATTTATAACCTATGGGTGTGGTAAGCCACACCCTAATCCTGATATAATAATATAATAATAATAGTATGAAGGAATTATTTGGTAAAATCATTTTTGATTCGTACATTAATTTTATTGCGACTTGAAGTAAATTTGACGCATATTATAGTACAGTTTAGTGTGGAGTGAGCCGTATGGAAAATTCCCTAAATGATAACAATGTAACATCTTAATAACAGATCTCACTAGTGTCAATCAGATGACGGGGAAACACGTGTCATGTGGTTCAGTCATTCACATGCACATGGTTTGAAGTGTCACAGGGATAATACTCCTGACCCGTGACTGTTGATACATCCAGTCCAGCGTTTAGAGTACTCCACATTTACTCATTTGCAAGGATAGATGATGAGGGCCACTATGTGGCTGTAGCATTAGCTCCAGAATGAGACAGTGATATAAAGAATAGTACAATGTCTGGACACTCACCACGGCTCCGTCTGCTCCAGCTTCACTTCTGCCATGTTTCTCTGCCCTACAGCAGACTGCTGCAGACACTGTGCTGCACTTATGTGTTAGCTCTGTTAGCTCCAGAGCTAACTGTCGGCCTAAAGCATGGCTCTTTTTGTTTTTGATGGTGACTTGTGTGCGCATTACCTCGGCTGCAACCGTAACTAGCAGCGTGGTAGTTTGACAGGGTGAACGTCCCCTCCCCAACAACTACTATTGTTTCTGCTACTTCTACTTCTACTTCTACTTCTGTTGAAGTTGAACAGCAGCAGCATCATTTCAGTGTATTTGTCGCCACCTGCAGTACGCCTCAACTCTGTGTGCTTAGTAGTTATAGATATGTAAAAAGTCTGCTAAATGTACTAAATATAATATTTAAAGACATCACAATAGCTGGGAAAATTAAGACTCAACTCAGAAGTCACATTTATTATGGTCTGCACATGAACTGAAGTGCAAAAACGGAAAGAACGTTATCCTTGAACATGAACGACACAGGACATCATTCTTCTCTGAATGGAAGACCTCTCACATCAGTGTTGAGCTCCAGCTCCCAGCACACCACTTACATTAGTCAAATACAACAAACCAGAGTCACACAAAGCAGACACTGTCGTAGAGGAACATAAACGTCAGATGGAAATGACCAGAGTGAACTCAGAGAAGACACCAAAGTGAAACAAATAAATATGTTATGAAATACCACGATACTTTGTTCTACTGTATCATTTTAATTTCTTGTGCAAAATATTGGGGTACTGATCTATTTTTTCCTCCACCACTGAGCAGACAGCTTTCAGTAGTCAGTAGGTGAACAATCAAAGTCCTTACACAGTGTTGCCTTAAAATGTTTTCTTTCTGTGTTTTCGATAGCAGGGAAAACACCTCAAAGCGCCCCATTCAGAGGACCTTACTCTGTGGGACGCATTATCTATAAACAAGTTCTGGTAATTTTCCACCAAAAAGTAAATAGATTCCACTGGTCAATAAAAAAATATATCTTTGTTTATGGTTGTAAACATGTGTAAGTAGATACTAGCCCTTAGTACTTTGGAGAGGCACTGCATTTACGGTCTATGGTTGGGACACGCTTCATCCAGGAGGCTCCCAACCTTATCTGGCTCACCTCAATGAGAAGAAGCAGCGGCTAATCTCTGAGCCATTTTTTTTTTTTTTTTTTAACTTGAAATGTTTGTGTGTAAAAATGGTTCAACAGAATCAGTCATAATTCATACTATTAAGCTTTTATTTGCAATTTTACACAGCATATGTTTTGGTTATAGATAGTACAATCATATTACATATTACAAAACATTACATTAGAAAATGTCAACTTGATCAACTTTTAAAGTTATGTTAAACCTACCCATTACAACCATTGAATACAGACGAAATGAATATTATACATGAATATGAAATATGCACTAAATGTACAATGCATTGTTATAATACTATTATATAGAAATAATACAAAATCATAAATTATCTTTATTCATTTATAAAAGGCCAAAGAAGCTGGTATAAAGAGCCTGAAGATCCTAACCATGCTCTAAATATAGTTTGAACAAAATCTCAGTGATCATGATTAAAATGAATTACTCAAATAACCAAAACTTTTATTATTATTATTTTAAACAATATTCAGCCCTGCAGCGGTTGAGTTAAAGAAAGCAAGTTAACCCCTAAAGAGAAGTTTGAGAACCCCTGGATTAAAGAAGAAATATGTATGAGACTTATGACTTTCTCTTTTCATGTTTTTAAAATTAATGTGAAATACTTTTGTTAGTAGAAAAAATATGGCAACAGATGTATCAAGGGCCAAAAGATCTATCTGCATGCAACTCCTCATGGTACCACCAGATGGAGGAGTCGAACTTATTAATCATTAATATTCTTTCCTCAAAATCAAACATTAGCGGCTACCGTGACAAGAGCTTTTGGACAGAGGAGGGTGAGTTACATGATTGTGCCAGATGTTCCTGGTGTGAAGGCATCTAATAATAATTCTAGGTCTGTTTTTGATGAGGAACAATGTAACAATTCAGAATGAAAGAGAGACTGGAACTTCTCTCAGGGAACGGGCTTGTACTGGTGGCATCGAGAGCCGGTAAGATGCTGGTCGCAGCTCAGTGTGTAGCGGATCTCCACTCCTCCGTTCTTGGCGTAGCAGGTGAAGGTGTGCATGCCGGTGGAGAGGGTCCTGCTGTAGGAGCCCAGGAGGTCGTCCCAGGTCACATCTTTATCCCAAACCTCGATCTTTAGGCTTGCATGAGTGTCCACCTGCAAATGATTACATCAGTAACAGTGGCATATTGAAAGAAACTGTCTCTTTGAGGTCTAAACCATGTAAAGGCAATGTATTTCATCACAAACATTGTGGTCACTGTGTGTGGCACTAAAGAAATATATTGCCATAGATAAAGCATTTTAGAATTCAATTCAATTAAATGTATTCTTGTATGGCCCTAAATCACAAAAGTAGTTATCTCGGAGGACTTTACACAACCACCATATAGAACTAAATGACCTATAAAATCTCTCTAAATTAAGGGTTAAACTGTGTAAAACTATTGGGCTGAATGATTTGAGAAAAAATAGCTGATTAACATTGTTATCCGTTTAAACCAGTGGGGGCGGGTCCTGGCTCAAAAATGATATACCTCAATGTATTTCAAAATTTTGATTATCTGTATAAAAAAAAACCTAATATTGGAGCCTGTGTGTGTGTGTGTGTGTGTGTGTGTGTGTGTGTGTGTGTGTGTGTGTGTGTGTGTGTGTGTGTGTGTGTGTGTGTGTGTGTGTGTGTGTGTGTGTGTGTGTGTGTGTGTGTGTGTGTGTGTGTGTGTGTGTGTGTGTGTGTGTGTGTGTGTGTGTTTGTTTTCTGGTTTACGAGGCCGATTTTCAAGACTTTTCTCCGAGTAAGGAGGACCCTCCGGTTTAGGAGGACAATTTGCTGTCCTCATAAAAATTACATTCTAAATCGTTTTCTATGCATTTTTTAATGCCTAAAAAGTGGTTTTCTCAAAAGTCTTTTTAATCCAGAAACCTGAGAAAATTGGTAAATTTGTGTGTCCGCCACTGCCCCTAGTGGTGGGTTTCTCCCGCGCGGGAAAAAGGGGAATTATACACAACCGCGGGAAAATGATACACACACACACAAAGTCAGCACTGCGCATGCTCCGTGGGGAAGGACAACAGAGCGTCTGTTCTGTCAAGGGGAAGTTTATGCATTTCTGCAGTAATTATACATCCACAAAGGAGACAGGAGAGGAGCAGCCGCGCAGAGGGACACAGGACATGGAGAGACACCCGCACGGAGGTAGGAGAGAGTTTTCACTGTCACCACATAGCACAAAGCAGCCTAGTTTAGCAGCAGAGCTAACGCTAAAGCTAACGCGAATGTGTGCTGCAGCCACTTGTTCAGAAAATCTACAGCAACTATATTGTCCACAGAGGAGACAGGGCCGTGGTGAGTCAATACTGGGAAGAGTTACAGCTGGCCACAGGTTGTTTAGCACAAAGTATCCTAGATTAGCTGCGGAGCTAAGTGGCTAACGCCCTGTATAGCTGCGGAGCTAAGTGGCTAACGCCCAGTTTATGCATACTACATAATGCCTATTGCTTTTATAAGGCCAGTTAGAAGACTACAATTATAAGAACAATAGAGATGAGACATTTGAGGTATTTATTATGATGCACTTTTTGCAGAAATCATACAAATAGGCTTTGATTATCCATTAATGGCAAAGGGCATAGCATAATCCTTATGCCATAAAATTATAAGTGTCCCATTTAGTCCACATAGTCCATAACCTCCAACATCTGCTTCCACTGGGATGTGAGTGACTTGATGATGAAATAACAATAGTATAATAATCACTAGTACCTTCCATTTGCATGGAAATGCTTGTTAATTAAAATGTTTTAGTTTCATTAAATTATATACATCTGTATTCTTAATAGAAATAAAATAATAGGCCTACTGTGTTCCTTAAGGCTTAAAAGAGATGTGTTCCCCGGTAAGGGGCTGTTTTGGCGATAGTATGTTATTACTATAGGGTATATTATATAACCTGCATGTATTAGGTCTATAATAGTCTATTAGAATTAATATAATTTAATCATTCATAATGTGCTCCTATGGACTCTCCACCTGCAGGAGGATCAGTGAGGGGCTGGTGCTCTGGGTGCAGCTCTGACTGGGGAAGAAAATGTGATGGATATTTCTCCCACAAGTAAGTAAGTACACAGCCATGCAGGTGAACTGCAGTGTTACAACAACACTGTCTAAACCAGGACTGATTTAACTTGAGAGTTTTGATTTGAGCTTCAAAACACTGCTTCAAACTTGATGACTAGGGAAATGTTTTGTGAATGTTAAGAGGACAGAAGTAATTTACTGTTTGAAAAACTATGAGAGGAACCAGAGAGTCGAGTCCTGCAGCGGGACATCAGGGAGTCCTCTTTTGAGGATAGCTTATTTATGGCTGTTTGTTAAAGAAATAAGTCCCATTGTTTTACAATAGCTAATAAAAGAAGTATTCGTCCCCACTGTGGGACAAATAAAGGAATTCTTATATTATCTTAAGTAGGTCAAAGCATCATCACAGTCCAAAGGCATAGTTTTAAAGGTTCCATATTACGCTTTTCTTCATATTTCACAGTCCATCCTATGCACATGTGTGATAATGATTTGACTTGTGAGATTATAGCCATCTCTTCATCACAGAAACAACATGATTACAGAGATCCTGAGCATTACAATGATTTATAACCTATGTTGGCAGAGCTGATGTTGGCTAGATGACATTGAAAATGTGTATATTGTTACATATCAAGACAGAGAGGGCCCCAATAGGCCCCAGACCTCAATTTGGGTGTGGCTGGTGAAGATGATGTGTATTTTTCTGTTCCTCTTGTTTAGACACAGCTCAGTGGTATAAGCATCATTGCTGGACAACATGTTGCAGAGTTCGGTGACCACACAGTGACTTGGACCCTGATGTTCCCTCTGCAGACTTATCCAGAGGTAATACCTTACTTAAAGAAGCTATACCCGATTTTTTTTCTAAGTAGTTCATAAAAATGCTTTTTACTACATACAAGTTGTATCATAATACATCATTTTATTGAAAACTTAAGGTCATTGATTCCACTGTGTATGAAATTCAGGCAGTGAAAAGTGCTGAGTAGAGTCTGAGCGGGACGTTCTCCTCCACTCACAGAACGAGCAGCGAACAGCCTGTGTCCTCTAGTCTCTACAGCAGGGGTGTCAAACTCATTTTGGTCCGGGGGCCACATACAACCTAATCTGATCTCAAGTGGGCCGGACCAGGAGATGCTCTACAAAAATATCCAAAAACGGTACAAAGTCCAACTTTTTGTGCACATAAACACATTTATTTAAAACTTCCTTTAAAACACTATCCTTTAATACTCAGTTTTCTGTTACAAACTTAAATGTAACAGTGAGTTTTCCATAGTGCAAATAATGTAGCGTATTTACAATATTACATTGAAAATGGTATTTCACAATATGTATATTAATATTTGTGTGTTAGCTTTGTTTTAAGGCTCATTACAGAGAAAACCTGCTCACAAAGGTAAAGTAGGTAGATAGAAAAAAGCACTTAAACACAGCACCTCAGCTTAACCATCTTCAGTGTGGTAAGGTCCATGGTTATGTTATTATCACATTAACCATCTTCAGTGTGTAAGGTCCATGGTTATGTTATTATCACATTAACCATCTTCAGTGTGGTAAGGTCCATGGTTATGTTATTATCACATTAACCATCTTCAGTGTGGTAAAGTCCATGGTTATGTTATTATCACATTAACCATCTTCAGTGTGTAAGGTCCATGGTTATGTTATTATCACATTAACCATCTTCAGTGTGTAAGGTCCATGGTTATGTTATTATCACATTAACCATCTTCAGTGTGGTAAGGTCCATGGTTATGTTATTATCACATTAACCATCTTCAGTGTGTAAGGTCCATGGTTATGTTATTATCACATTAACCATCTTCAGTGTGGTAAGGTCCATGGTTATGTTATTATCACATTAACCATCTTCAGTGTGTAAGGTCCATGGTTATGTTATTATCACATTAACCATCTTCAGTGTGTAAGGTCCATGGTTATGTTATTATCACATTAACCATCTTCAGTGTGGTAAGGTCCATGGTTATGTTATTATCACATTAACCATCTTCAGTGTGTAAGGTCCATGGTTATGTTATTATCACATTAACCATCTTCAGTGTGGTAAGGTCCATGGTTATGTTATTATCACATTAACCATCTTCAGTGTGGTAAGGTCCATGGTTATGTTATTATCACATTAACCATCTTCAGTGTGTAAGGTCCATGGTTATGTTATTATCACATTAACCATCTTCAGTGTGTAAGGTCCATGGTTATGTTATTATCACATTAACCATCTTCAGTGTGGTAAGGTCCATGGTTATGTTATTATCACATTAACCATCTTCAGTGTGTAAGGTCCATGGTTATGTTATTATCACAGAGAAAGCATCAAACTGACCATGATTCAGTTGAAATGAATAAAACAACTTCCATAACCAAAGCAAAGGAAGGTTTCTCACCCATCATCTGTACTTCTTAGCAAGTTTTACTTCCATAACGTGATTCATTCTTAACGACTGCAGCAGTGTCTCTGTGTAAAATACAGTCAAATGTCCAAAAATCATCACCTCCATTTGCAGCTTTGTCACTACACCTGTTTTTACCATCGGTACCCGTCCACACTGTCCAACACACCAGCAACAACAGCAGAACCAGCAGCAGTACCAGCAGCAGCGCTCAAAACTCCTCTGATAGTTTCAGTAACACCACAAATGAATATGTGACATCAGTAACATCAGTCTCTTATCAATGGCAACATGTTGGTAAAAGCGAGTGGTTTCTCAGACCATGTCTGCAGCCTGTGAGAGTTTTAACAAACTCTCTCTCACTGTGCGGCTGCGATGCTAATGCTAATGTTGTTAGCACAGGTAGCTTCCCTTTACAGCAGCAGAACTAACCTCTTGCTCTGGGCACAAACAGACTGCTGTGTCTTCAGGGCCAGACATGTTTATCTTCTGTTTTCTCAATTCTCCGCTCAAAGTGCTGTATTTTTCGTCGAGTCTTGTAGTTTAAGATGTTATTCTTCCAGCACCGCTCTGGTGGAGCCACTACAGACGCACTGGACTCACCCCTGAGCGCGGCGCTGCGGCGGCGCGGAGCCTCGCGTCGCGGAGCGGCTTTTTAAAATGTAACTTTATTATATTTTTACATAAATGAGCCACGGGCCGTGTCAAATCTCTTGGCGGGCCGGTTCCGGCCCGCGGGCCGTATGAATGACACCCC